GAAACCCCGTCTCTACTAAAAACAGAAAAAATTAGCCAGGCATGATGGCGGGCGCCTGTTGTCCCAGCTACTCAGGAGGCTGAGGCTTATGAACCTGGGAGGCAGAGCTTGCAGTGAGCCAAGATCACGCCACTGCACTCCAGCTTGGGCGACAGATCGAGACTCCCTCTCAAAAAAAAAAAAAGTATCGTCTCTTGAAGCCAGCACATGTCCCATAGACCACAGACCCAAAACAATGCCTTATGTAAGGTAGAGGCTTGATGAATGTTTGAAAAAATAAGACGGGCATGGTGCCTCACGCCTGTAATCCCAGCACTTTGGGAGACTGAGGCAGGCGGATCACTTGAGGTCAGGAGTTTGAGACCAGCCTGGCCAACAAGGTGAAACCTCATCTCTACTAAAAATACAAAAATTAGTCAGGCGTGATGGCAGGCGCCTATAATCCCAGCTACTCAGGAGGCTGAAGCAGGAGAATGACTTGAACCTGGGAGGTGGAGGTCGCAGTGAGCCGAGATCGCGCCACTGCTCTCCAGCCTGGGGGAGAGAGCAATAAAGACTTCATCTCAAAACAAAAAAAAAAAGTTTGAAAAAATGACTGCTGACTGGTCATGGTGGCTCATGGCTGTAATCCCAACACTTTGGGAGGCCAAAGTGGGCAGATTGCTTGAGTCCAGGCGTTTGAGACCAGCTTGAGCAACATGGTGAAACTCTGTCTCTACAAAAAATTAGCTAGGTGTGGTGGCACATGCCTGTAGTCCCAGCTACTTGGGAGACTGAGATGGGAGGATCGCTTGAGCCTGAGAGGTTGAGACTGCAGTGAGTCAAGATCATGCCAGCACACTCCAGCCTGGGTGACAGAGTGAGACCGTGTTTCAATAAAAAAGAAGAAAACCTCCATGATATATGACATATATAAACATTATTTTAAGGAAGGAAAACCATTTTAAGTATTGTTTTTAACTTTTATATGGCCTCAAATGTGAAAAACTTTTTAAAGAGATGTAAAAGGCACATGGCTTTTTGATGGAGATTCCAGGTGAATGAATGAGCATTTCAAGCAGCTGCATATAACTGAGCCCCAGCTCACATGACTCAGGAACTATCCCTTCATTCAGCACAGTTTCTTGGTCCTCTGAGTTTGCTCTTGAGGGACAGAAAATCAGATCGGAGCCAGGGGCAGTTTCTCACGCCTGTAATCCCAGCACTTTTGGAGGCCAAGGCGGGTGGATCACCAGGTCAAGAGATCGAGACCATACTGGCCAACATGGTGAAACCCTGTCTCTACTAAAAATACAATAAATTAGCCGGGTGTGGTGGTGGGCGCCTGTAGTCCCAGCTACTCGGAGGTTGAGGCAGGAGAATGGCGTGAACCCGGGAGGTGGAGCTGGCAGTGAGCCGAGATTGCGCCACTGCACTCTAACCTGGGCGACAGAGTGAGACTCTGTCTCAAAGGAAAAAAAAAAAAATCAGGTCAGGAGGCCACTGACCATGGTGGCAGTTGCTCCTGGAGGCCTCAAGACTAGCTCCTTGGCCAATGCACACACATGCTCTGAAGCTTAGGCCTTTGTTTTTAGTCAAAAGGTGGGCTGCTCTTGAGCTACAGCATGACAGAGACACGCCGAAGCCCTTTTCCTTTCAGATACGGCGTGGAGATCAACTCCTCCACCAGCATAATGGGACCCAGCATCCCCGCCAAGACTCGGGAGGTGCTCGTCAGCCACCTGGCATCTTACAACACGTGGGCTTTACAAGGTATGTATAGAGTTTCCTGTGGGCTTGGCAGGTGGCTGTGAAGGCCATCAGTATCTGAAGCCTGTGCTTGCCCCTCCTCAGGTGCTGTGAGTAGAGAGGCACAGGGGCGTTCTGGGCTAGCTGAGTGTGGAGGCTGGCTGGCTCTGATGCTAGCCCATCACTCGGTGCTCTAGGCTCACACTTTTCCACCTTTGACTCTCCAGCGGAAGTCTTGAGTTCAATCTCATTGCCCTGGCTTGGGTCATATGTCCATCCATGAACCAATCACTAGACTGGTGGGGGAAGCTCTGATTTGCCAAGTTCGGGTCATGTGTCTCACTGGGTAAGAGCAGAGGAGGATGGGAAAACCAGAGTGCTCTTTCAGAAGAGTGAGACAATCGCTGGATGGCTCTTTGCACCACTCGCTTCTGTTCTCTGCTAGGGCTGCTGGGACTCACAAGGGGTAGGTTGTGGCAGCTGCCCTGTTTTGGATCCTGACTTGGCTTGTGTCCCTGCAGGGATTGAGTTTGTAGCTGCCCAGCTCAAGTCCCTGGTGCTGACCTTGGGCCTGATTGACCTGCACCTGACAGTGGAGCAGGCTGTGCTGCTGTCACGCCTGGAGGAGGAGTACCAGGTGAGGAGCAGCACCTCAGGTCCCGCCTTCCCCTTCCTAGTTCAGACTCGCTTTGGGGGAACAGCTAACCCATCTGAAATACAGTTATGCATAGTTGGCTTTCATTACTTTTGTGTACATGCAGAAATCAAAATCAAGGACCAGCAGAAGTATTGTCAAGTAGGCCTGGCATGGTGGTTCACACCTGTATCCTAGCACTTTGGGTGGCCGAGGAGGGTGGATCATTTGAGGTTAGGAGTTTGAGACCAGCTTGGGCAACGTGGCAAAACCCCATCTCTACAAAAATACAAAAATTTAGCGCCTGTAGTCCCAGCTACTTGGGAAGCTGACGTGGGAGGATTGCTTAAACGTGGGAGGTGGAGGTTGCAGTGAGCCAAGATTGTGCCACTGCATTCTAGTCTGGGTGACAAAGTGAGACCCTGTCTCAAAAAAAAAAAGTATTGTAAGATAATAACATTTAAAAAATAATAGTAAGTGCTACCGCTGTGTTCCTGCACTGTATCCATCTCACCTCCTCTCAGCAGCCTGGGCAGGTAGGAGCTGTGGTTATCTCTGTTTTACACAGGAAGAAACTGAGGTGCAAGGTTGCACCTCTGGAAAATGTGCCAGCTAGGGCTTGAAGCCAGGTCTGGTGATTTTAGGCCAAGACTGTCAGGCCTCACTCTGCACAAGGAGGTTCACGGGTGGATAAAGACCATCTGGGCTTGATAAAGCCTGCAGAACAGGCCCTGCCAAGATGACTGAGAACCCGTTTGTGCTCCTACATCAGCTAAGCCTTCATACCCTGACATTTTATCTGGCTGGCAGAGGAGCATAGGGGTAGCTGCTGTTTGTACACAAGTTTTGATTTAGTGGGCTCAGAATTAAGGTTTTGCTACAGTATGGTTTGCATTTTTTAACTCTGAAAATTATGGCCATCTTTGCAGTTATTCCACCAACCTCAGAAGGTTAATTGCTATTATGAATTGGTCCCTAGTATGGTAAAAAACAAACAAAAAAAAGCTTTTTGTGATGTATTTCCCTAGTTCTTACAGTCTTCTGCTCAGAAAAATGCCAGGGAAAAAAACTATTTTTGTATAACAAAGTAGGCCTGCTACTATTCTCTGGATGTCAGAACCGATTACATAGGAAGGGGGTGACTTGTAGGGCTGGTGGGAAGCCAGTCTGGGCACTGCTTCTGACTATGGGACCCAAGCCAGGCCATCATTCTCTGAACTTTGGTTTCGATCCTCTACAAACAGAGGAATAACCTGAATTATGTATGTGATGGTATACAATGAAAGTATGGAATACTCTTCAGATGACTTATTACAATTGTACAGTTTGGGACCAGGCAGCCCAGAAGTTCAAATAGCTTGTGTAGCATGGCAGATTCTGAGTTCCTGGATGAGCTGGGGTGGCCAGGCCAGGCCTCTTGGGCAACTAGCCAGGGAGGAGCCAGCAGGGTCTGGTTGGAGTTACACTGTCTGGACAGCCACACCGTGTGTCTGAGGGTTCCTGCCTCTTGTTTTTAGAGCTCCAGACAGAGAATCTGCAACGTGTCCCCAGTGTGCAGAGCAGAGGCATCTGTAGTTCTGTGACTACCACAAGAGTTAGAGTTGAAGCCACTGCATGGCCTTGCTTGATTTAGTTATTCCACCCACATGGGGCTCGGGGTGCACTTGTAGCCCAGCATGGCAAGGCAACTTGCAGAGGCTGTCCGTTCACAGGCTTCCCGGGAGGAAGTGTAGGAGAAGGGATGGCACATAAGTCAGGCCTCCTCAAAGAAGTCACATGGGTGGTTCTGGTACCCAGCTTGCTCAGTGGTGGGTGGGCAGCTACTGGCCCTGGGCCTGGACTGTACTTCTTCTAGACCATCCATGCCACAGAAAGCACAGGTGCCTGCTCTGGCTCCCTTAGTGGATGTGTGTGTGTGTATGTGTGTGTGTGTGTGGTGCTCTTGAGACAGGGTGTTGCTGTGTTGCCCAGGTTGGAGTGCAGCGGTGTGATCTTGGCTTACTGCAGCCTCAGCCTCCTGGGCTCAAAGCAGTCCTCCTACCTCAACCTATAGTTGAGGGACTATAGGTGCACCCCCACCACACCCAGCTAATTTTTAAAACTTTTTGTAGAGATGAGGTTTCACCATATGTGCCCAGGCTGATCTTGAACTCGTGGGTTCAAGCAGTCTTCCTGCCTTGGCCTCCCAGAGTGCTGGGATTACAGGCGTGAGCCACTGTGCCTGGCCCACCTGGGTGTTCTTACCTGCCACCTCCCTCTAGACATGTCTCGTGTTTTGGCAAGATCCAAACCTGTTGCCCTCAGCCGAGCTATTGGAATGGAATGTGGCTTTGGCCAGGAGGCAGCCAGGCACTGGCCACTCACCCAGCAACTTGTCTTGTCCGTCCCTCAGATCCAGAAGTGGGGCAACATTGAGTGGGCCCATGACTACGAGCTGCAGGAGCTGCGGGCCCGCACCGCTGCCGGCACCCTCTTCATCCATCTCTGCTCCGAGAGCACCACAGTCAAGCACAAGCTCCTGAACGAGTGAGGCCTGGGCAGCGCACACTCAGCAGGATAGAGGCAGCGCAGCCACAGCTCCCCCAACCTTCAGGGCTCCTCAGCCTGTGGGGCTGACTTCCTTGACTTTTGGGGCCTCGGCCTCAGCATCACCCTGAGATTTCCCCGAAACACAGTGCGCTAGTGCGACTGTCCGGAGGTCAGCCTGATTTCAAACCAGGTGCCCCTGGCCTGGTCAGCAATGAATGTGGGAGATGAATTGTACAACTAACTTTCTCTCAACCCTGATTTTATTAAATATTTCTCCACCCTGGAAATGTGCTGAGCCCTGTTTTCACGTGCACCTCTGCACCTCTCCATTCTTCCTGTTTTGTCTAGGTTCCAGAGGGTTAAACAGCTTATCTCCCATGGCATGTTTGGATATCTGCTGCCTGTGGTTGGGAACCTTGTGCTGGGGAAACAGTCATGTCATCCACAGACAACTCTATTTGTGTTCTTCAGCCTCAACTGGAAGGCTTTTTTTGGCTGGCTTTTAATCAATCTTTTGAAATGATCGTGGTTTAAGCTGGTTGTTTCTATTTGTTCCTACTGTTCTAAAACAAGTGATTTACTCTAGAAAGTAGAAAACGGACAGGCTTGGCGAGGTCACTTGATGTGCATGTTTCCGCTCATCTCCCACCCAGGAGTCCCAGGGGTCCTCCCGACATAGCCACCTCTAATGTCCCAGGAGGCAGGTGCTGCTGTCTGGTGTCAGGCCAGTAAGAGGGCAGTGGGGATCCCGAGTGTGGTTCTTAGGCAGACAGGCTCTCTCAGTCCTGTGTCCTTGCCAGCCTGAGTAAGGTAATGGCATCGACCCTGTTCACAGGGCACTGATCACATGCTGGGTGCCTCTCCATGCTTCCCATGCACTGTCTCCCTGAACTGTTCCTCGAAGGCACTGTGAGGTACTATCACAGATGACACCAGGGCTGCGGGGGTGTGGTGGAGCTGGGATGCCCCGCCTGTGCTCTGCTCTTCTGGAGGGTCCTCAGGTCCCTGTGACTAACCTCAGCCTTGGTGGGCAGGCCCAGGCCCCCACACTGTGGTGGGAGCTACAGCCTCTCCTGCATTGCTGCCCCTCAGCACCCAGAGCAGAGAAGGTCTCAGCCCACACCGGCCTCCTTTTGCCTGTGGCCGGCAGCCTGCCTAGGCATGGCAGGGGAAATGGCAGGGGCACGTGTCTGACTTTATGCCACAGCCAAGAGTCTAGCTGATGGCAGTGCCCTTGGGAGTCACTCTGTCAGCTGGCCTGGGACCGGCTGTTCATCTCAAACTCTTTCTCCTGTTCCTACATGAACATGAATTCTGATTTTTTTGTTTTTTGTTTTTGTTTTTATTTTTGTTTTTTTTTTGAGACGGAGTCTTGCTCTGTCACCCAGGCTGGAGTGCAGTGGCCGGATCTCAGCTCACTGCAAGCTCCGCCTCCCGGGTTCACGCCCTGTCTCTTATACACATCTAGATGTGTATAAGAGACAGCCTCCACCTCCCAGGTTCAAGCGATTGTCCTGTCTCAGCCTCCTGAGTAGCTGGGATTACAGGCACACGCTACCATGTCCGGCTAATTTTTGTATTTTTAGTAGAGACGAGGTTTCATCATGTTGGTCAGGCTGGTCTTGAACTCCTGACCTCGTGATCTGCATGCCTCGGCCTCCCAAAGTGCTGGGATTACAGGCGTGAGCCACAGTGCCCAGCTGATTTTTTTTTTTTTAATGAATAGGGGAAATGTGACATGAGTCCTTTATTTTCTCTACTTTTGGAAGTTTTTCCAGGGGTGGGGCAAGAATGGTGTGGGGGATCGTAGTTGAGAGATGCCCAGCAACTCTCCCGAGGTGCTCGGTGGGGCATGTGCACTTCCTTCTCTTGGTTAGGGCTGGTGCTATGTTTTGAAGAAGCTCCTGTGGCTGACACTCATCTAGTCTAGGATGTCGCTATATTCCAGGTTGTCCAGTTCGCTCTGCATGTGGTCGATGTACTGATTGATCTCCTTCACGCGCTTGCGGTTCCTCATGATCTCATCCTTGTGAATCTGAGGAGTGAAACCAAAGCCCGATTCCTTACATCAGATCATTGGTTAATATCTTTCACTGAGTCCAGTTTGAGGGAAGGGGAAAATAGTTCCTTGAGATCTGCAAACCTCCGCATTTGCTTCGGCGCCTCCCCAGGTTCTGCTCATCTCTGTGTATTTGAAGTAGGAGTTAGGAAAATGATGAAGCCCATGGGTTTTGTGTGTGTGTTTTTTTTTTTTTTTTTTTGAGATGGAGTCTTACTTTGTCACCCAGGCTGGAGTGCAGTGGCACGACCTTGGCTCACTGCAAGCTCCACCTCCTAGGTTCACGCCATTCTCCTGCCTCAGCCTCCCGAGTAGCTGGGACTATAGGTGCCCGCCACCACGCCCAGCTAATTTTTTGTATTTTTAGTAGAGATGGGTTTCACTGTGTTAGCCAGGATGTTCTTGATCTCCTGACCTCGTGATCTGCCTGCCTCGGCCTCCCAAAGTGCTGGGATTACAGGCGTGAGCTACCGCGCCTGGCCGAAGCCCATGGGTTTTAAAGTCTCTGGGCAACCTTGTCTTCAGTGTGGAGTTCTATAATCCTTAATTTTATTTCTTCTTTCATTTCATTCCTAAATGAGAATTCTATCCACTACCTAGGGAGGATTTCCATGTCAGCTAGAAAAATTTGTCCAACCTGCTAGGATGGCTTGGCAGTGACTCACCTTGTCTACTAAACGTGTACACCAGGAGTTGATTCTGGTCACCAGCTCATCTTCTCGATTGTCAATCTTCAGAAGGTGGATGTCGTGCGATGCCCCGACAGCATTAACAATCGTATCTTTATCGACAAAAAGCTGGTGAGTGAAAAGAATCCAATGAGAACATGTGTGTCATTACACCCTGAACACAAAGAGAGCTGAATAGAAAAGGAGCATTTGGAAGTCCCCTGGCTGTGCAGGCCACACTCAGAGCAGAGCTCACCTTTCTATCAGCGCACTCTGCCGATTCATCTGTGAATTCATCTGTGACAGCTGCCTCCCCAACCGCGCAGGGCAGGTGTTGAGGGGGAAAGGGCCAACCAGGGTGTTACTTTTCAGTCCCCGCTGGAAGCATGTTTCCTCCAGGGTGAAGGCAGATGGCTGCCCAGGGGGCACCTCACCCAGGACATCTGTTCTCACAATGCTTCTCTCTCAGTTACTCTCAAGTCTGACTTGCCCAAAACCTCTGCCTGCTGGGTGGAAGCATGAGACTGGCTGAGGGTCTTGGGGCTGCTCTGAAGACAGCAGGCCCTATAAACTGATGGGTGTTCACCCCACAGTTCTCTCTCCACTGCCACTCATGTCAACAAAACCAAACCATGGATTCCATCTGGGGTCTCCTTCTGCCTTCTCTTGTTCCTGACTTTGCTGTCTTGTAAAAAGTTGTTAGAAACAACCACCCTCTAATAGGCCTCACTGGTTCCAGGTATTGACACTGTGGCTGTCGTTGCCTGGGATGGTGGAAATGCCCAGAGCAGGGCAAGGCCACCGAAGCACTCAGTAAGCAGTTGCTTCCACCTTGAAGCAGAGGCGTTTGGTAAGGAAGAGCACGTGAATGCTCTGTATTGCAGGGAGGACTTGCAAGTGGAGTGTACACTTTTTGTTCTTCCCTGTAGTGGCAGTTAACGGTCTCTAAAACATGTTCTGTGGAATCTTATGTTAATATATCTACCAAAAAAAGTATTCTTTGGTCAAACACATTTGGGAAAGCCAGCACCCCCAGGCCCCTCCTGAAGATTTGCAGAGCACAAAGTATTCCAGAGGCTCTACAAAGTCCTGTGGAAAATAAACCCTTTAAGCTTTGTCTCTCTTGGTTTTTCAACTTTTTTGGCCACAGACTTCAGAGTAATGCCTGTTAATGTCTTGTGGGATGCTGATTTTCCACAGAATCCCAGTGGGAAAAGCCAGGTTAGCTGATATGTGGAATGGGGTGTCTGGGGGACCAATTAGCACAGTCACAAGGGAGAAATGTCAAGAAATCATTAAGTTCTTTCCATGTGTGTACAAGGTCCCAGGCCAGGCTCTGGGAATGGTTCAAAGGTGTGTAAAGCCTGTTTTCGGTGAGCGTTGGCAGTGTGCTTAGAAATGAGTGTTCTGGCCGGGCACGGTGGCTCAAGCCTGTAATCCCAGCACTTTGGGAGGCCGAGACGGGCGGATCACGAGGTCAGGAGATCGAGACCATCCTGGCTAACACGGTGAAACCCCACCTCTACTAAAAAAATACAAAAAACTAGCCGGGCATGGTGGCGGCGCCTGTAGTCCCAGCTACTTGGGAGGCTGAGGCAGGAGACTGGCGTGAACCCGAGAGGCAGAGCTTGCAGTGAGCTGAGATCCGGCCACTGCACTCCAGCCTGGGCGACAGAGCGAGACTCCGTCTCAAAAAAAAAAAAAAAAAAAAAAAAAAAAAAAAAAGAAATGAGTGTTCTGGTTATTTTAGAGATAACTACAACCACAGTGTCAACCCATCACGAAAAGGTTTTCATCCTTCATCCTAAAAAGTGGGTCATAGTGGAGCTTTTAGCCAGGCAGAGAAATCATCCCCCTCAGAGTTTGAATATGTAGAAAACAGCTTCAAAAGCTGTGAGAAGCAACAGAAACTGAAGTCTGCTTAGAAAGATACATGATTAGAATTGGTTACGAAAAACAGTGTGACATTTGTAAAATGCAAATAAAAGGAAACTGGGTTTAAGGGAATTATTTTGAGATGTAAGTTACAAGTTGTTTCTGGACTTTGGGTGGCCTAGAGTGGTGGCTACTTCAATTTTCCCTCTTAGAATAGTTTTTATGGGTAGAATATTCCAGATCCCTCTCCAGTTTCTGCAGGTTGAAAGCCTAGGGTGGAGGCAGGGACTATGCAAACAGGTATTCCTGAATCTTTTTTGAGCTGTTGCCCTGCTCTGTGGTCCTTGTGGCTGTAAAGACACACTTCTTTCAAAGCAACTTCTTTGTTTAAACAGTGTTGGCATTGGCCAGGCGCAGTGGCTCATACCTGTAATCCCAGCACTTTGGGAGGCCGAGGTGGGCAGATCACCTGAAGTCAGGAGTTCAAGACTAGCCTGGCCAATATGGTGAAACCCCATCTCTACTAAAAATACAAAAATTAGCTGGGTGTGATGGTGGGCACCTGTAATCCCAGCTACTCGGGAGGCTAAGGCAGGAGGATAACTTGAACCCGGGAGGCCAAGGTTGCAGTGAGCCAAGATCGCACCCTTGCACTCCAGCCTGGGCAGCAAAAGTGAAACTCCACCTCAGAAAAAAAAAAAAATTGGCATTTAAAAAAATTGACTAATAATTGTTCATATTGATGGGGTACATACTGATGTTTCTACACTTATCATATATAGTGATCAGATCAGGGTATTAGCATATCTGTCTCAAACATTTATCATTTCTTTGTGTTGAGAACATTCAATATCCTACTTCTAGCTATTTGAAACTATAATATATTGTCAACTATAGTCATCCTATAGTGGTATAGAACACTAGAACTTAGTCCTCCTATCTAGCTGTAATTTGGTATATCCTTTAACAAATCTCTCCCTATTCCTTCATCCCCCTACCCTTCCCAGTCTCTAGAAGCCTCTGTTCTTCTTTTTACTTCTATGAGATCAACTTTTTTAGCTTCGGCATATGAGTGAGAATATGAGGTGTTTAACTTCTGTTCCCGGCTTATTTCACTTAACATAATGTTCTCCAGTTCCATCCATGTTGCCATGAATGACAGGATTTCATTCTTTTTTATGGCTGAATAGTATTCCATTGTGTATATGTACCACATTTTCTTTATCCAGTCATCTGTTGTTGGACACCTAGGTTGATTATGTATCTTGCTGTTGCAAACAGTGCTGCAGTAAACATGGGTGCAGATATCTTTGCAATATAGTGATTTCCTTTCCTTTGGATAAATGCTCAGTAGTGAGATTGCTGGATCATATGATAGTTCTGTTTGTAGTTTCTGAGGGTCCTCCACAGTGTTCTCCCTAGTGGCTGTCCTAGTTTACATTCTTACTAACAGTATATTAGAGTTCCTTTTTCTTTGGATCCTCACCAGCATTTGTTATTTTTTGTCTTTTTGATAATTATCATCCTAAGTGGGGTGAGATGATGCCTCATTCTGGTTCTTATTTGCATTTCTCTGATAACTAGTGATGCTGAAGATTTTTAAATGTATTTGTTGGCCATTTGTATGTCTTCTTTTGAGAAACATCTGTTCAGATGTTTTTAATTGAATTGTTTGTTTTTTTGCTTTTGAGATGTTAGAGTTCCTTGTATATTCTGGATATTAATACCCTTGTCAGATAAGTAGTTTGCAAATATTCTCTCTCATTGTGTAGGGTGTCTTTTCACTCTGTTGTTTCATTTGCTGTGCAGAAGATTTATAATTGGATATATTCCCGTTTATTTATTTTTGCTTTTGTTGTCTGTGCTCTTGAGGTCTTATTCATAAATTTTTTTCCCAGTCTAATGTCCTAAGGCATTTCCCCTGTTTCTTCTGGTCATTTTATAGTTTCAGGTCTTTTTTTTTTTTTTTTTCTTTTTTTTTTTTTTTTTTTTTTCCTGAGACAAAGTCTGGCTCTATCGCTCAGGCTGGAGTGCAGTGGTGCAATTTCAGCTCACTACAACTTCCGCCTCCTGGGCTCAAGCCATCCTCCCCTCTCAGCGTCCTGAGTAGCCGGGACTATAGGCACGCACCACCATGCCCAGCTAATTTTTGTATTTTTTATAGAGAGTTGGGGCTTTGCCATGTTGCCCAGGCTGGTCTCAAACTCATGGGCTCAAGTGATCTGCCTGTCTCGGCCTCCCAAAGTGCTGGGATTACAGGCATGAGCCACTGCGCCTGGCCAGTTTCAGGTCTTACATGTTTAGTTGATTTTTGTATAGGGTGAGAGGTGGGGATCTAGTTTCATTCTTCTGCATATGGATATCCAGTTTTCCCAGCACAATTTATTGAAGAGACTGTCTTTTTCCCAGTGAGTGTTCCTGGCGCTTTTGTCAAAAATCAGTCGGCTGTAAATACATAAGATTAATTTCTGAGTTCTCTATTCTGTTTCATTGATTTATGTATCTGGTTTTTTGTTTGTTGTTTGTTTTAAACAGGCTTAATTCACTTAACTTTTCTTGTATTAAAAACCCTGTGTTACTTTGGGAAGCCAAGGTGGGCAGATCACCTGAGGTCAGGAGTTTGGGAGCAGCCTGGCCACCACTGGTGAAACCGTGTCTCTACTAAAAATACAAAAAATTAACCAGGCGTGGTGGCATGCGCCTGTAGTCCCAGCCACTCGGGAGGCTGAGGCAGGAGGATCATGTGAACCCAGGTGGCGGAGGTTGCAGTGAGCCAGGATCGCACCACTGCATTCCAGCCTGGGTTACAGAGCAAGGCCCCATCTCAAAACAAAACGAAACAAAAAAAACCAACCCTGTGTTGCAGCCACAGCTGCAGCCTGGGTCTTTCGCACAGAGTGTGGGTCTTGACAAAATGGTCAGTGAATTCCTGAGAGGAAGACTTGGTGAATACAGTCTTCTCCGAGAGGTCGGGGGCAGGTAGCTATAGGTCTTGGAGATGGCATCAAAGGTGGCCTTGGCAAAGTTGTCCAGAGTGGCAGTGCGGCTCCTGGCTGAGGTGTAGTGGTTGTCAATACTGGACATCAGCAGCATCTTCTTGGGCACAGAGGCCAAGAGGATGCCAGTGCCTCTGGGTGCAGGGATAAGGTACAGCAGCACGGAGCTGCAGCAGCCTGTCACCTTGCAAGGGACAGTGTGGGACTTACGATCTTGGTCCCCCAGTAGCCTCTCTGCACGGGACAATGGAGAGTGTAGCCAGGATGATGATCCCTCTGACAGCAGTGGCTGCTTCCTTGGAGCACGTAACACCCAGACTGACGTGGCCATTGTAATCCCTGATGGCAACAAACGCCTTGAACCTGCTGCACTGGCTGGGGCAGGTCTGCTTCTGCACTGGCATAATCTTTAAAACCTTATCCTTAAGAGAGGCCCTCAGGAAAAGGTCAATGATCTCAGACTACTTGATGGGCAGGGAGAAGAGACAGATCTCCTCCAGGGACTTGATCTTCATGTCCTTGACCAGGCAGCCCAGCTTGGTGACAGGCATCCACTCCTTGGCCTGGGCCTTGCCTCTGAGAGCTCCCTGCAGCCTCGGCCCCTGCCCTGACTACGGCCACAATCCTAGCCCCAGAAGCTGCTGGCAAAGCTTCCATGGTTTCCCATTCCAGGCCTCTGGGCCCTCCTGCTGCCATGGTGTCATCTACCATTTGGTGTTTTCTTGGAGAAAAATGTGTCTGTTTTATGCCAGTACCATGCTGTTTTGGTTAAAATCGCTTTGTAGTATATTTTGAAGTCTAGTAATGTGATGCCTCCAGCATTGTCCTTTTTGCTCAAGATGGCTTTGGCTATTCAGGGTCCTTTGTGGTTCCAAATTTTAGGATTTTTTTTTTCTATTTCTGCAAAGAATGTCATTGGTGTTTTGATGGGGATTGCACTGAATCTGTAGGTTGCTTTGGGTAGCAACAAAGTAACTTTTGAGAAGGGAACAGCCTCTCCCCAGGACCACCACACTGCTAGTGGCTTGAGGACTTGCTGCCCCATGGCATGTGGGATCAGATCATTTTGTCAAACCCACAGAGGGCACCTAATGACCCTGCATTCCCCTCTGCCACAAATGAGCAGTTTGGCTTGATGGTCAGGGACCAGCCAGCACAGTGTCTCCTGGTGCCAGCCAGAATCTTGTGACAGTCTCCCTATCCAGAGACTGCTGGCTTGGGTCAGACCCACTGCCACTTGAGCAGACCCTGGGGACTTGCATCCTCCCAATGGCCTGGGCCTGAGCACTTGCCCTGCCCTCGCAGCCGGACACCGCATGGATGTTCAAAGCAGCCGGTCAGCACCTCTGACCTCCCCGCCTCCCTAAATGGGCAGCTGTGGCTGCCAGCCTCACTCAGACGCCCTCCCTCAGTGCCAGCTCCAGGCTCTCTCCTCAGCATGTACATTCTGCTTTTCCTCTCAAAGCTGGAAGGACTTGAAAATAGATGTGGGACAGATTGGCCCCACATAGGTCATGAGCTGATAACAGTCACTCAACTGCATGAGTGGAGTTTTAGAGATAACCTCATTAGGGTGACTTATCAAGATATGTTCATTGATAATTAGGTAACAGAAGCCAGATTTTTTTTCACCCACAGCCCTAGTCCCTCTTCTGAACATCCTCATCTTACTATACAGTAGACATTTTGTCAAAGGCTTTCAATCAAACTGCCTGGGTTCCAATCACAACCCTATCTCTTATAAGCTGTGTGTCCTTGGGCAGGTTACCATCATCTCTGTGCCTCAGTTTCCTCATCTGTAAAAGGGAACCATAATAGTAACTACTTTACCATGTTGATGTGAAGATTAAAAGAGCAAACACGAGTTCAGTGCTTCTCAGAGGGCTGGCCCTCAGGAGGCCCCCAGTCAGTGTCAGTGATGTATTATTCCTTTTTTTTTTTTATTTTTTTTGAGACAGGGTCTTGCTCTGTCACCCAGACTGGAATGCAGTGGCACAATCATGGCTCACCTTGACCTCTCAGGCTCAAGTAATCCCCCAACCTCAGTCTCCCAAGTAGCTGGGACCACCAGGTGCACATCACCTAATTTTTAAATTATTATTTGTAGAGATGGGGTCTCGCTATGTTGCCCAGGCTGGTCTCAAATTCCAGGGCTCAAGCAATCCTTCCACCTCAGCCTTTCAAAGTGCTGTTGGTATTACTCATATAGTCAGAGCATACTTTTTCCTCCTAAGAAGGGTAGGCCACGTTTTTTGTTGCTTAGATGGAAGGAGACTTAGGCTATGGTATAAGGTCCTGGGAAGTCTCTTCCTGTAACTGCAGGCGTAAAGCCACAGGAATGGTGGTCAGCTGGCACCAGACAGAGCCAGCTGGGCTAGAGGGAGGGCTGGCCACTGAAAATGCCAGCCCAGCCTGCTTCTTTGCTGTTGGCCTCTGGATTCATCTTTTTCTGTGTGTCCCAGTCATTAGAAATTAAGCACGTTTCAGTCCTGTGCCTTCTGGGTGTCAACAGACATTGAAGCTGTGCTGGTAGGGATCTCCACCCACCCCAAGATGGTCTGTCTGGGGAATTCCAGACTGGGCACTCAGGGACAGCCTTACTTCACAGGGAAGGTGGTTTCTTGCATCTGGTCAATAGCAATTAGCTGCACTTAACAGCTTAGGGAGGAAGGCTGGTGTCATGGTGACCCTATCACCACACTGCTATCTTGGGTATCTGGGCCCCAGGACAGAGGCTGTGGAAGTCAGGGACTGCTGGTCCTTGTGTCTGCAGGACTTAGCCCCGTATCTGGCAGAGTAGAGGCTTGGTGAGCATATGTTCTCACACTCATTCTGCAGATGACGCCTGGCATCTGTGCTGCACATTGTACACTGTTGCTGGTACTGAGGAGGTACATGGTGGTGAAAAGGCCATCCCTGTCCTCCCTCCTGAGCGTATATGTAGTGTGAATAGTCACATCGGCAGCAAATACACATCACTCAGATAGTTTGAAACTGTGATGAGGCTCTGACCTGATAAATGGGGCGTGTGATCCAGAGACAGTGGTTTTCCAGGAAGTTGATGAAGAAAGGCCTCTCCCAAGAGCTGATAGTCAAGCTGAAATCTGAATGACAAGGACAAGCCAGGCACATGGGGACCTAGGAAGAGCGTGTGCACCAGGCAGAATATCAACTGAAAGGAGCAAGCCTGGGTGATTGGAGAACAGCTCAGAGGCTGCTGCTGAGCATCGGGAGTGAGAGGTCTGGGGGTGGGAATTGCCCAGATGGGCAGGGCCAGCCACAAGGGTCTGGGGGACTATGGGGAGGAGCTTATGCTAGGGGTCATGAAAGCCACTCTAAGGTGTTGTGTAAAAGTGTTTAGTGATAGGGTTTGGGTTTTCAAGGGTCTCTCTGACTGCCACATGGAGGACAGACTGTAAGAGGACAGTAAAGAGGCAAGCCGTCCAGGCCAAGGATGATGGTGGCTTGCCTTGGTGGTGATGTGGCGACAGAGAGAAGCTGAGAAACTGGCAGTGGAGTGAATTATGCATGCACTAAAGCAGGCCCTGACAACACAGTACCTCTGCCTGGGCGCTGGATGCCCACACTCCTTCCAGAGACATAAACATGCTGCTGTGGGACCCCAGCACAGACATCCGGGAGAGCCTTCTTAGCGTGCAGACCCCAGGGATGGAGCCACGTGCCCCAGGCCGACCCTGCTGATTTTGTGACCACTCATCAGTGGATGTGCTGGTGCAAACGGACGGCATCGTGCGGGATCAGAAATGGTGGTTCCAACACCCCCACAGTACTCATCATAGAGACTCTAAGGTTAAGAAGACCTCCAGGGGAAATCTCAGACTTCAACCTCTACCTGTAACTGCTTCTCTTAGAAAGTGCCAGAAGCCTCCACATAATTGAACTTTTGGAAACCTACCTGTTGGAAAGTTGAAACCATCTAATTATCATGAGCTCCTCTTTAACTGGGCCCCACTGGGTGCCCCACCAGGTGCTTTGTTAGCCTATTTTATCTGCCAGCAACCCTGTAAAGCAGGTTAGTGTGCCCTTTTGCGGATGAGAACACTGAGGCTCTGAGAGCTTGTCAGGCTTACTCACAGGGCCTCAGTCCAGCCACAGAGCTGGGTTGGACCACATCTGTCAGGCCCCTCCCCTCCCCTTTCGCCCAGCTCCGCCCCGCCCTGCCCAGTTCAACTCCATCCCGCCCTTTCCCGCCATGCTTCGCCCGCCCCGCCCACCGCGCGCAGGTCGTCAGGCAGGTCCTCGTCCAGGTCGCCCTTGACAATCTTCTCCAGGGTGCTGATAGAGATCTCCAGGAGCTTCTCGTGGTGGTGGTTCTCCAGGTCCCGGCACTGGGCCATCGTGCAGCCCCGAGTTAAGCAAAGGCCAGGGAGGAACAGGCCCAGCGCGTCCCTGATTCACTCAGAGGGCCGGAGACAGACTTTAAGGGCCCAAGGCGAGCTTGGAGATTCCGGCTGGCAGTACCGTCCACCCACAAGCACCCAAGCCTGGGCCATCCCCGACTCCCCGCCCCTGCCCCACACCTCGGACGGACCTTTGGCCCCTGCCATCACCCTCTTCTCTCCCTCCTGCATGGAGGCTCCTGGCGCTAGTCTCTGGGTTACCAGAGTGTGCTTGCTGGCAACACAGGGGGCTCATTTCTCAGTGAACATCACCCATATGAGAACAATCATACTGGGACCCTACTGCAAACAGTTTGGATGTTGTCCTTCTAGGCATCCAAACCACAGCTCTAAAAGACCATCAGTGTTCTGAGGGTCGGGAAACCCCCTCAGACCCTGTGGAACATTCTTTTGTCCAGAGGCCAGGACAACCCCAGGGGCTCTGTAGCACCTCCCCATGGGGGAAGGTCATCACAGAAAGGATATAGGCTTTGGACATTTTCGATAAACAGTCCCACCATGTCAACAATGTTCCTTTCAAACATGTTTATAGTCTCCTGGAAATGTTAAAGAACACAGTTAACATGCATATTTAGACATCCAGCACAGAGCAAAAGGTGCTCCTTAGAATTTAGCAACCACCTCCTCTAATCACAGACCTTCGGGGTAAAGACCACCCATCTTGACCCTCCTGAGCAGATGGTTGTGAACTGACCCCTCTGCTCTCTCTAGAGTTGTTCTCCAACCATATTAACTCCCTCACCATCTGAATGTTTAATGCTGTCACTGGAACTTTGCCAGGAACACTTGTCCTGGTCTTACTCCCCTTACCTGCCTGCCCAACACACACACAGAGCCAACTCCCTCTCCTTTGGGTTTCTCAGTGACATCTGTGCATCACCTCCAGGGAAAAAGTGGAGTGAGCTGTTAAGAGCTAGACTGCCTGGGTCAGTATTCCCAGCTCCAGCACTGCGTGTAACTCTGGGAAAGGCATTTCACCTCCTTGGGCCTCATCTTCCTCATCTGGGAAATAGGTTTCCTGCATAATCCCTGTGTTGTGGAGTTGTGGTGAGGTTAAATGAATCACTTCACACAAAATGCTTTGCCTGGCCGAGAGGAGGCCCTCAGTAGGAACTGGCTGTCACCCCAGATCTCTTTCAGTTAGTTGCTGTTTTGTGGTGGTTAGCAAGGCACCTAAGACCCAAATGGGATTTAGTGTTGACTGAAGGAACAATGGAAGATGTGATTTCCAGGCCTGCCACTCTGGAAGTGCCCCACCCCCATCTGCCATAGACTCCAGGGGCTGCAAGGTGGGCAGGGGTGGAATCTATAGGAACGTGAGGACTGTCTGCAGAGTGAGCACACTGCACTATTTTCAAACACATGCATGTGCTGTTCTTGTGAATAAAAACAGGGTCATTGAAAAGCATGATTGCCCTTGTGGCTTTCTGGTCACCGGTAATACAAGTAGGATGGCACACGGATTCTGGGAAACGTTTGGATGTTGAAAAGCAATCTCCTTGCCTGAAAAGGCTGGGAGCTGCTGCCTCGTTCTCCCCGGCACTGTGCGCTGCTTCTGCAGTGCCTGCGTTCCCCAGCGGGGAGGGAGCACCTGCCCTGTGATGTGATGGGGAAATCTATCCCATGTCTGAGGTGTCACTTGACGTGTGAGGAATTGATTAGGCGCTATCACTTGGCCCAGCCACAGCAGCAACCAATGAGGTTCAATTCATCACATCACTTCAGACTCCCGGCCTCCGCTGCCTTGTAACACACACACTGGCCGCTAATGAATTTCAGACAGCGGCGCTTTTCATTTCCACTACTTAGTGCTGAGTTGCAGCCTCCTCGCATCGCCTGAGAAGCAGCAACCGCAGGCTGCAATGCGCGGGGGTCTTTGTTTGGTCCCCCAAGTGGGGGTCCACTTTGCCTTTAGAGTTCCCTGGATAGCTCCAGGGGTCTAATCAAAAACCTCTCCCCACTGACTTCCAGGATAGGGGGAACATTTCAGAAGAATGAGCTCACCTCTCATTTTCCACAAGAATCACTTCCAATCTAAATGATTAAAATGTATCAAAAGCAAACACAGGACTGATGAGCAAGAAAGCTGCAGCCTGGCACGCTGAGTCATGCTGGACGTTTCCAGCAGAGGCGTGCCCATGAAGGCTGCAGTTCACCTATGGATGTGCAGCTGCATCCCCAGATCCTGGCACTTGTGCCCAGGGCCCAGCCTCACCTCCAGCTGCTCCACCAGCTGCATCTCCAGCATCATGAGCTCATTGAACAACTCACTGACGTCAGCGCTGCATTCCAGGATCATCTTCTCAATGTTGGGCAGTTCCGACTCCTCTCGAATGGCACTTAAACTCTGGAAACAATAGACTGCACTTCAGGAATCAACAACTAAGTGAATTAGATAGTGGCAGGTGGCAATTTGCTTTTGTGGGTAAGAATTTGGGCTCTGGAGTCAGCCTGCCCAAGTGCAAGTCTCAGCTTTGCCACTTGCTGGCTCTGAGAGCTTGTGGAAGCTACCTACCCTCTCCATGCCTCCGTTTCTTAGTCTGTAAAGTGCAATTGATAGCCCCTACCCTTGACACAGGTAAGAGAACATATGTGAGGCTCTTTGAGCACTAGCAAGTGCCCACTCCCTGTTAGCTCAGGTTTTTATTAGAGGCTGGTAGGCAGGGTGGAAGCAGCCATGGTTTTCATGGGGCTCAGAGCATTTCACACCAAAATACGCTGCTTTGGCATAGTGATTCTTTTGAGTTAAAGATACTTAAAAATGCCTGTAATCCCAGCACTTTGGGAGGCTGAGGCGGGCAGATCATGAGGTCAGGAGATCCAGACCATCCTGGCTAACAGCGTGAAACCCTGTCTCTACCAAAAATACAAAAAATTAGCCAGGCGTGGTGGCGGGCGCCTGTAGTCCCAGCTACTCGGGAGGCTGAGGCAGAAGCATGAGGTGAACCTGGGAGGCGGAGCTTGCAGTGAGCCGAGATGGCGCCACTGCACTCCAGCCTGGGCGACAGAGTGAGACTCTGTCTCAAAAAAAAAAAGAGATACTGGCTGGGCGCGGGGGCTTACGCCTGTAATCCCAGTACTTTGGGAGGCCGAGGCGGGTGGATCATGAGGTCAGGAGATCGAGACCATCCTGGCTAACACGGTGAAACCCCGTCTCTACTAAAAATACAAAAAATTAGCCGGGTG